CATGAGGACAAAGGTAGAGCTTCTAGTGCTGAAGTGTGTTGAGTTGATTCTATTCCTTGTATCAGAAGATTCCAGCATAAGATAGAGCCTACCTCTAGTCTATGCATGTCTAATTCAGAATACCTCTCATCGTGACAGTTCTGTGTTCCTCCCATGAATTAAGGGTTCATGAGTCTGTCTCTGTATTTAGTAAGTTGCCCAAGCTCATTAGTACTCATTATCATAGTAAATCCACAATGAGGACTTTTTTACTGAATGATATTGAAATATTGCTGCCAATTTTTGTAATTTGGAGTGCTTTGTTTAATTCATTGGTTAATCAAAATAATACATCAGTGTTTAAAAAGAATTGCCTAAAAATAATTAACATTAACCGTGACAAAGATTCAAATGATGGTCTATCATGTTCTAAATGACCCATGTAAAACATGTCTTTTCCATGAAAATAACCTTACCAATTCGTTTTAAGTTAAAAAATATAAACTGAATAAACTAATTATGTGTCATATTGTCACACTAATGTTTTATTTTATTTTTTAAGATTATTTATTTATTTATTTGTTCATTTATTTATTTATTTGAGAGAGCGACAATGAGAGACGAGGGAGAGAGAGCACATGAGAGGGGGGAGGGTCAGAGGGAGAAGCAGACTCCCTGCCGAGCAGGGAGCCCGATGCGGGACTTGATCCCGGGACTCCAGGATCATGACCTGAGCCAAAGGCAGTTGCTTAACTGACTGAGCCACCCAGGCGCCCCTGTCACACCAATGTTTTAAATTACAACTTCAGTGGTTTTGTAGTTTTGCTATCTCTTAACTTAAAAAGTTATTTAGATATTTTAGCTCGGTTAGAGTATAAACATAAGAACCTTATACCTATTTTTATGTAAGTACGTATATAGATAATATTAAGTAAATAATTTAAATAATACTGAATTGTCTAATATTTTTGCCTTCAAAGAAATTCCATGCATGGTTTAAATTTGAGAAACTTTGAATTAGGTAGTAGTTCCTAAAATGCGAGTTTGTTCTAAATTCACTTTACTTTTCCAGTTCTTTGGGTAATGTTCCTAAAGCAATGTTACCAGGTGTACTTAATATTTACTTACCTGCGGTAGGCTTCCTTCAGGGTTAAATACATTTATTTTGGACAGTTCAGGGGGAATTACTCCCTCTCTCTCCTCTACCCCAATTTTCCCATCTCTACATTTTCTTCAGTAGATTCAGTCTTTTCTCTGAAAACCAAGAGGTAGCTGGTCAGTTCTCTTGGTTTGAACACTGTATCAGTGAGGCCAAGCCTGCAGTGTGAAGATAGGAAATTAAGTAATTTCTATTTATGGTTAGTCTGCCTGTGATGGCTAGTCAGTGCTCCTGAAGACATTGCACTATGGTTCATCAGGGTACCCATTGCAAATAACCCGTCTCAGCTACAGGTAAAGCAACTCACTATTAGACCAAAGCATCATTTCTGTATTTGCAGTTCAGCATACCATTGTGACTTCACAGAAAAGGGATGCAAGCAGCATAAGTAATAGGAGAAATCATCACACAGAATTTAGAAACAGTGACAAGCAGTACTCTCCCTTTACATCCTTCTCAAGCCTCCAGACATCTCGGGAACAATACCTACTCTCTCTGAGACAAATATTTTGAGGTGGCCTAAAATTAGGCCCACTTCCCTATGGGTCCTAGGAAAGGTCACCCTCACAGCCTGTCCCTGTGTCGGTGTAGTTTCTCCAGAGACACAGAACAGAACCGACCAGTAATATACATATATTATAAAATATTATATTTTATATTATTTTAATATATATTATAAATGGATACAAAAATATATTTATATTTTATATAATTATAATATATAATATTATATATGATATATAAAATATCATATCATATATACATATGGCAACATGATTCTGGACTGGCAAGTCAGAAATCTGAAAGGTAGGCGGGCAGACTGGAAACTGTCAGGAGGAACTGATACTGAGGCCAAGTTTCTTCTTCAGGGACATCTCAGTTTTGCTCTTAAGGCCTTTCCACTGATTGAGTGAGGTCCACCCACATAATCAAGGATAATCTCCTTTACTTAAAGTCAACTGATTGTAGTTGTTCTTCTGATCTAAAAAGTACCTTCACAGGAACACCTACATTAGTGTTTGTTTGGATACCTGAGTACCGAAGCCTAGCCAAGTTGACAGAAGAAACTAACCATCAGAGTCCCTAAATCTTATCCGTCTTAACGCCTGCTGACTGGCAGGACACTGGTTTCCTCTTCTAAGATGCCCACAGAATCTCTAAGAGGGGAAGATCTGATTCACATTCATTTGAACTGCTATACCCAGCTGTTCTCATCTCTTGGTGGCTCATGGCCTCCATGCCACAGCTGTTTTCAAGTATCTTATGCTTTTATGAAATTCCTTACCCTCTGCTCAGACTGCCCTTCCAGTGGTGCTAAGGCCTTGATCTTTAGGACCTCCTTTCCTTACAACCCCCTGTATTCTCTTACCTTTGCCAGTACTTTGGCTGGTTGGATCCTTTTGCAGTGGGGGTAACTCTAACCTCTATTCTCATAGAATTTGAACCCTTTATAGACTTACCTTTATTGAATTTCTGAAGATTACCATAAAATTTTATAATGGGAGTAATAGGCGAATTACGGGTGAATCTCTTGGACTCCCTCCATATCCCTTCTTGTTCCTATTCAGTAGCAGCAGTACAGTCCCCCTTGGCAATTGGGATAGATTACCCCAACAATATTACAAGTTCCATCTCTGTATGTCAATTCAGTGGCATGAGAGCCCTAAAGTAATAGGAAGAGTTAACTTTCAATATAATAGAATTGTGACTCCATTTCTAGTTGGAAGCATCACTCTCTTAGGAGCTTGTAATTCCAATTTTATGGAACCCAACAGTACGGGAGTAAGAAAAAAAAAATCTTAACACAGAATATTTCAGGTTTCGTATTGAAGGGCTACTTCCACTTCCACCCTTTGGTTCCTAGACATGAGCATGGGGCAGAATGGGGGGACAGTATCATATATTGGTCACTGGTTTACAGGACCATAATCCCACCATCCTCAGTTGATGCCATAGCTGAGCCTTCATTATGCCATCTGCTTCTAGGTGATGGCACATGTGGTAAGGCCAGTGAATTCCATAAACATAAGCCGATTGCTTCTTTTGTTTCTTTATAAAGTAAGTTGCTTGGTTGAGGGTGATGTTTTGCGGAATGTCGGTGAAAAGGGCACAGATGAGCGTATATATAGATTCCTATGGTCACAGTAGCAAAGTGCTACCAACTGGGTGGCTTAACACAACAGAAATTTATTCTTGCACAGTTCTGGAGGCTAGAAGTCTGAAGTCCAAATATCAGTAGGGCCACAGTCTCTCCAGGATCTAGGAAAGAATCAGTTTCATGCTGTTCTATGAAAAGAAGGTATATGCAAAATGATCTCCAAAGGCTGAAGGAACTCTTAAGACTGACAAAAATGACTAAGCAGTATAGCTTGATGAGAAATGGTTTATTAAGGGGACTTATGGACAGAAGCTGTCTTGGGTAGTAGCAAGACCAGTAGATCTCCACAGCCCCACCTCCAAAAGACCTGCTTTTATAGTCCTAGAGGCTGGGTAATACGTACTGGGGACCACCCCTGGGAGGCCATCCTAGGCAGACCACCTGGGAGGAAATGTTTGAGAATCAGTCATATCTCCAGCATAGAGCAAAGGAGTTAGGCCCCAAGGGTGTACTTAAAGGTGTGTTTAAAAAATTTGGAAGTGGAGGGGTGTCTCAGTCAGTTAAGTCCTAATATTTCATGACTATTCCAAGAAATCTATCCACATACCTCTTCCCAAGAACTTCTTGTCACCAGTCCTCTAAGCTTGTTTTTCAAGTCTCTGATGGACTAGGCATCTCATTAGTTTCTCCCAAGAGTCATTAGGGATCCATATCATGGAACATCTCTCCCTCCACAAAAAGTGGAAAACCAAAAAAAAAAAAAAAAAAAAAATACTACCTTAAAATTGCCCCCTGGGAATATTTTCCTTTAGGACTCTCTTTCAGACTGCCACAGATGGGGCAGATGTCCACTTCTGGATGAGGTCAACAGCCATCAAGCAGCAGATAATTTTTCTTCTTTGGCTAGTAGTCATAGATAGCTAACTGCCCATGAGACCACAGGTATGGTTTAAGGGACTCTTGACTCAGCAGTAGGAACAGGTGCTTTGAAGTCTGATTCTGTTCAGCGGGGTTATTTGAGTTTTTTGGATCTCTCCAGGCTTTTTTAGGTATATTCCACTCCCATTTAATTATTCAATGCTGCTGCACACATCTACTTTGAGTATTTGGTTGACCAAATAATACCCAATTTATGACAAGCAGCTCAGGTCATATAGTCCCCTGGTTGTTGCACTCAGGTGTTATTTGGTTGTACCACAGTCAAGTAGCAAACCAGAAATAACTTTACAAATGGAAAATAGTAGTTTGTAGAAGAGAGTTTGGTTTTGCCCCCGAATATTATGGTCTGTGCTATGTTTTTCCTGTTGTGACACACTGGAGCCTCCAAAGGGTATTTCTATTTTTAACAGAGTTCAAGTACCATTTTAGATATTCTAGCTTACCAAGTGTAAGAGTTGGGGAAACTTCCATCACAACTTGGACCTATTGCTAACTCCTTTTTTGCTCTGGGCAACAATTAAAACTGGTATCCTTGTGGATTAGTCAGGAGATGGGTTACAGCATTGCTCCCAAATGTAGTATATGTTTCCTCTAAAATACAAATACTTATGCCAAATTTGTTGCCTCTCTCTTCACAGTAGGAAATTCAAGGTGCAGTTAACTGTTGCTAACTCTAGAAGGGATACCTACACATGTTCTACACCAAAGAATTACTCGAATTTTTGCAATGTGGTAGTATCCCAAAGCTTTTTGAAGTTTGTCTCCTACTCAGTAGCACACATGGTTTTACTTCAATATCTAGGTGCTTGTGACCTGTTCAAGAGGTCCAACTTGCATAATATCTTCAAATGTAACAGAATGATGTTTTCTGGGATTTTAACATGGTAAAGACTCTTCTGGACTATATTATGACAGAGACTAGGAGAATTGACATAGTCCTAAGGTAAGACACTGAAGGTATAATTCTATTTCTACTATCTAGATAAAGATGAACTGTTCCTCATTGTCTTTACAAATTCGGATGGGGGAGAAAACCCCACAACAAATGAAAGCATTTCCTGGATCAATAACTACACTCTAGGAGCCAGCAATTGTGTTGATTTGCTCTGGTAAGCGAACCACATCTGGATCAGCAGCTGTGGCTGGTAGCACCAATAATTCAGGGTCATTTGAAAGCATCCATTTGGTTTTTGTACCAGACAAACTGGAGCATTAAAAAGAAGATTGGGAAGGAATTTCAATCTTTGGTAATAGCACAAATTTCTACAGTTTTTCCAGGGTATTGCTTTCTGTTTCCTTTTTGACAGGGGAGATTCCAGCGGCCTTACTTGGTTCTTCCCATCATAATAACATTTACTCCATGGGTCAGAGAACCAATGTATGGATTGTTCCAGTTCTTAAGTATAATTATTCCACCTGTGCAATCAGGAACAGAGGAAATAACCACTGGAATCCCACTGACCACTGAAGGTGGATATGGGCCAAGATTCCATTTATTTCTTGAGTTTGTGCCCACACTGATTAGTGCTAAATTATGGCCTGTAAGTAATAACTCCTACATGGTATGGTTATTCTTTCTCCCAGTTCACTGTGACCCTTTTAAATGGCTATGGATCTTTTGGGGGAAGGTGTGGAGGAAGATTTACAGTGTATTTTTGTGACCACATTTCAGTGATTCCTTAAAAGAAGATAGCCTTCATCTCAAAAGATTCTGGGTAAAAGGCCATGAATTCCCACTATAGTACTTTGATTTGGTTCTTATTGGTCTGATAATGTAGACTAACTGATATTATAGAAGGTTGACAATCTATTTCATTCCTAAGATTCTCACAAAAAAATTATCTATAACCATATATTCATGTGGATCAAAATATTTGTATCGCCATTCTGCTTTTGTGGTTTATTGTGATACTTGTGCCAACCTCATCCCTGCAATTGAGCACTGCCACCTGGCCTCAGCCACTCCAAGGCCACTGAGATTAGGGAGCCCAATTCTTCTGTAGCGTCTCTGGCCTACGGAAGGCAGCCACAACAGAACTTTTTGGGAATACTGGTGCTCACTACCAAAGTAGTCTTAAAACTTTGGAGAAGGAAGTGTCCTTTTGTCTCTCCTGAAGGTATAGTAAGGTGTGGCTGAATAGGTTACAACTAATTGGTCCATTCCAGCATCCCTACCTTCTTAAGCTTTTGATTTCTTTCCTTTTTATTGCAGAGAAATCCCAGCATCTCAATCTCATTTATGCAAGTCACCACTGAGTCCAGGTTTCAAGCATACTATTAGAGCTAATCCCAGGTGTTTCAGCCAACATAATATACATTTAGAATCTTAGATAAACTTTCCTGTATTGATAAATTCTTTTTGAACCAACCTCATTCTTTTATCTCCTTAATTTAAACCCTTAAGAATCCATTTCTAAACATGTTTCTTCCCACTCCCATTTCCTGACTATAAAAGTTGTCAGGGTCCTATCTCCCTTTTGGTGTAGAATCTAGCTTATCCTTGAAAATACTTTGCACTTCTCCCTCTGGCCATGGAAGTGATGAATGATGGTGGGAGTTAACCTTGAGGAGAATAGGACTGTCCTTGCTAGGCAAGTGCTCCCGATGAAGGCTTTTGCAAATAGTTCTCTCAGATAAGCTGGAGGGACTGCTTTAGCTAGCAGTGAAGATTCAGGGGTCTTTGAAAGTTCAAGTTAAGGACCTCATCTGAAGTTTTAGGATTCTACTTTTTCAACCAGTGACTTACTGAAACAAGTCTCATAGATTATAGTTAGAACCCTAGTTACAAAGGAGTGGGACCCTGACTTAAAAAGGGCTGCTAACCTTAACTTTAATGTGAACTCTCAAAGTGCACTGAATATATGTATTTAATCAGTAGTGCAACTCTGCAACCTATATTCTCAGGTTATGGTTATGATCATTAATTATGTCTGTTCTACATATACATGAGATACATATAAAGCTTATTAGAAACCTCCTGGTTTTCCAGCCTGCCTTGAGTTAAAAGTTCACGGCACAAAGCTTTTATTTTATTTTATTTTTGTAAGTTCTCCAGTAGAGTGAGAAGCAACCTATAATCTTTATCACCATAATAGGGAAATAATACAGACACTTAATCTCCCAAAAGTTTGTCCTCTACTATTACCCATGTTCTCCCCCGACCTGAGTAGGGAAGTCATCTTTATGTTATGAAATAGTATATATGGAATCAGTACTTGAATTTCAACCTCAGGGTCTGTTTCTTGAGTCCACTCCTGAACCCAACTACTGTTATCAGCCAGGGGCCCAGCAAGAGACAGAAGGCACATTGATGGAATTCAGATAATTTAATGAAAGTACTTGTTGGAGATGTGTGGGATTCAGTAACATAACGAACAAGAGAAGTTGAGGCACCTCCAAGTAGCAATATTGGAAGGTGCTACCATCTCTAAACCTGAGGGGAGGAACAGCTCACCAAAGCCCTGTGACAGCCAAAATTGTGGAGGAAAGGCCACTTGGCAGAAACTGTGGTCAGAGGGAGTCACAGCCACTGTTAGAATCCTAGCATTGAAGCAAAGCATGAATGAACCAAGAACAACATTCATCTCTTTCTCTTTTCCCTTTTTCTGATTTCCTACTGGATTTCCCATAGCCCAGGCAATGCAGTTTGCAGGAGCCAGCCTTTCTGGCATACAACGAATACAATGGAGAGTGGATCCAGGTCAGGGGAGAATGGAGAATGGCAAATGAAGACTAATTACTGTGGTTGGGGGGGGCACAGCAGGTGGTGGTGATGGCACTGGTAGGAGTAGTCTATGCAGTAGGGGTAAATTCAAGGAGAGCCTCCTACTGTATTCAGAAATACTTTTCCCTTTTAGTATTGCTTCTGGTAGAGAATATGTATTTTTTAGGCTCATTGTGTCACTTTAACAATCCCTTTCCACATCACATGATACCCCAGTATGTCAAAAATTCTTTCCTATGGGCCTCCATGGTCCCCAGGCAAATCAAGAACTATGGCTAGAAACTTTAAATGTCCTGAAGAATTTTCAGACAGCTAAGGTGATTGTATATGGTTGTAGCATATGAGAGCCTCCAGAGAGATCATTGCCTAGTACATCTGAGTTTCAGCCAAGATAACCTGTTAAGAGTAGTGAAGTAAAAGAAAATTAAGGTGAGCATTACTTGGAAGCAAAATTAATTTATAATGTGATGTGGCAGCAGAAAAGCTGAATGCTTTCTGAAGAACTATATGAAGAATAATCACAGTCCTGAGTATTACTTCCCACACAATTCAGTTACAATGCTTCAGACATCACATCTGACTTTGAATGTCTGAGTTACAATGAGTTGCAAACGTTTGGAGGAAGAAACGGTAGTAGAAGGAAAAAATGTGCAATTAAATCAAAGTAAAAAGCCTTACTAGCCAAAAATATCTACCACCTTGCCACCCCCCTACCCCTGCCCCCCACCACCGTCCAGCTAAGAACCAAAATGAAATAGGTCAATTGGCTTGTCTCCATGACTGGAAAAGAAATTTTTAGTACCCAAATAATCATTAAGAGTATAATGTGTTTAAGACACATATTAAATGATGCAGTAGAAGCTATAGGGAAAATGCACCTTGGGCTTGAAAAAAATGACTCTTGTATCAGTAACATAATCTTTTTCTGAGAAAGAAAATCAGTAATACATAGATGTGTGGAGGGGATGTTGATTGTCTTTTCAAGAATAACTTGTTTATTCATAGCTGTGCATCCCTTTCAATGAGGCGTCCCTTAACTCTGAAGGTGAAAATTCAAACTGGGGATAGATCTGAAAATGAGGAAACAGGAATCTTTACTCTCCTTCCATTCCCATAAGTAGAACAAATTTAGCTGTATTTTGCTACAGGCAAGTTTGCTGAACTTGAATAACCTTTACATTGATTGCTATAGACATTCAGGTAAGATTGCGAAGCTTTTTCTGTGGTGTTGCAGTTTTACATGGTGTAGGTTTTTGGTAATTGTGTCAATCTACATTGCTTGCCTCAGACTATCTCTATTTGAGTTGCTCCTTTAAATAAGACAGTGGCTTTTACTTGGGTTACTCCGTTTTTCATTGCTCTGCTGTGGGGGAGGGCATACCAACTTTGAAGCCAGTTGACCCGGGGCTTCTTCTGCTTACTAGCTGTGTGACCTTGGCCACAAGTTTAGCTCCTATGAGCCTTAGTTTTCTTTTTTGTAATATGGGATTATGAACGCTTATAGTAATGTTCTGAAGATTAGGGGAGATAATATATATAAGACATCAGACATGGTTGGCATATAGTGGGGATTCAATCCATGAAAGCTTCTGCAATTCTTCATCATTTTCTTATTTCTCAATTAAGGAATCAATATGCCTTTCTTGAGAAGTAGAATGGTCGTACTTCCAGGAGAGAGAATGTTGGCAGGGCAGGAACTTGTCTCTGTTGCCAGAGTTAGACACCATTTGACTAAAGTAGCTTCTCCATTTCTACTTCTCAGAATAGACTGATTCAGCACCCCCTGGAGACCTTAACTTCTTCCCTAATAAATGAAAAGTTTGAATCTGAAGTCAGGTAACATTTGCCTTAAAGCATTGTCTTAAATAGATTTTTCTTTCCTGCTTAAAAGGAAGTCAGGAAAGATTTATTATAAACGCTCTCAAGAGACCTCTTCCAAATTACTTCCCCTTAAAGAGGTAGTCACAAAAATAAGCACTGAATGCTGCCTTAGAGATTGGTAAAGTGACAGCAAAGCCACTTTCCACATGTTTATTGGTGAATTTGAGCTGAGTCTGAGTATGCTAAAAATTAGCCTCAAATTTCACATTTGATTAAATTAATATCAACATGTGAAGATAAAGATAATAATTCATTTTTTTAAAAAGGTACCAGTTACTAAAAAAGAGAAGTGATAAGCTGGTAAGGAAGCCAGATTATACTAGGTGGCTTTATAGTTC